TTTTTTTAGGTATTCTAAGATTTCTAAGATCCGAAGAGTCTAGGTTCAATTCCTAGTAAATATAAAAAGTATTGCACTTATTTGCGTTTCATTTTTTTCCTTTAAGTTTTAGTATTCCTCGCTAAGATCGGGCTTAGCAGCCGCCTTACCCAATACGGAAGGTGGGTCGTCTATTAACCAATCAACGTTAAACCTTAAGTCGACCTACCCGCCCGCCTACCGCCCGCCCGCCCGCCTAGGCGCCCGTCTTCAGCCCGCCCGCCCAAAGGGCCCGGGCGGGAGCGGGCGGGTGACTGGGAGGCCTGTTCGCGCTTTCCCATCCGGCTCAGCACCGTGCGTGTGCGGGGCCGTTCCATCGCCCTGTGGCATGCTGCTTATGCTCTATAAGTACTTTGCAACTTCTGACGCCTTATGTAGTAGCCTGGCAGAATCTTCTCGTGCCCGTTGCATTTTGCAAACAAGAGAAGTTTCCGCCAACAAGTAGTTGAAAGGGACTGCATCTTACAAACGTTCTTTTAGCAGCCTAGTCACTACTCAAGGCCTTTTGTTTAAGCGTTTCACATTGGAGCAGGCGCCTCTTCTATCAACGAGAGACCCTTTGCGAATTAAGACTACATATATACCGAGGCCGTTGTCGGTGTTTCGGCCACGAGGGGAAAGATAAGGTGTATCCCGTATTTAATTAAAATGTTTTATAGTCGGCGAGTACGAGGAAAACAAAATCTTTATTTCTTTATTCTTTATAAGAGGACATACGTCTTCAAGGGCTTTAATCATCCAGTGAAGTTTCCCAGCGGGCCGACACCAACGGATAGGTGCGACGAAAAACATGAAGACTAAGTCCACACCATACGCGCCTTAACCACAATGTCTCTAAGCCTAAACACTGCAAATTTGGCCATCACTGACGCCGGTCTTGCAATGCATTTGTGTGGAATAGCGATTCCATTTCCATTCCCATGAACAACTAACAACTGTGGCCTGCTCGCTCATCATCTAACCGGCCATCTCTCCCATCTCATCAAACTCTGCATGAAGACTCTCCACCTCATCCCTCAAGCGCACATTCTCATCAGCCAAGCGTCCGTTGGCAGCAGCTAGGTCCTCGACCTCCGCATCAAGTGCCTGAATCTGCGCAACTATCTCCTGAGTACCCAACCTCATTTGCTTATGCTCTGTAATCAACTCTTCGCGTTCCTGCTTCAGATTCCGCGTCTCCCGGCGCAGTAAGATGTTTGAAGTTATTAAGCTTTCGACACGCCGGTGCAGCTGTCTGTTTTCGTAACGCAGTGTATTAAGCAGTGAGTCTGTGTCCTGGGCTTCAGTGTCAGCTGCAGCAGAGAAAGTGAAAGGATTACTCGCTGATGCCTACCAATAGACTCGTATTGCCGTTTGGCATGGGGCTTTGATGTCTCGTCATCATGATGTTGGTGATGCTGGTTCCGGTAGTCGCCGGCTGCGTGGGCGAGAGGTTTTGTCTATGCCATTGGCCGTTCCGCTGGTCATTCCAGTTGTCGTTGCGGTTGGGAGTGAACATCGTGACTGCTCGCTGCTATAACGCTCGTTGAAGGAAGCTTATTGAGAGGATTGTGTTGCTTGTGTTCTCAATGTCGCGAATGGGATGGAGCTTTTTATACATTTGTCAGGTGAGAGCGCATGGGGATCTTGATGCATAGCTGAAAAGCAAATTAGGATTCTGTTTTACGCCTACTAGGAAAAGTGATTTTTTACTGATTGGAAGAGTAACGAGTAGCTTGATGCGGTATCTCAAATGATCCAAAGTGGTTGTTTACTAAGTGCAGTACAAAAATCCCCTCACAAATATCGACAGTTACACAAATGAAAAGCTTATAAAAGAATATTTCGGGTGTTTCAGATAGAGTCGGGTGGTGACGTGCTTTCGGTCCAATAGAACAAACAAAGTAAAACATAGTTCTCTGTAGAGAGTTCAGGGTGGGGCGGGGTTATGATTATACCGCCATCGTAGGCCGTAGATAAGTAATCTACCGGTTCGCGTTTCTACTTCTTCCTTTTATATAGTAGGATCATCGTATAGAATACCACCGAGCATGTCTCCGAGGACATAACGTCCTCGGAGACATGCTCGGCACAACTTAATAGATCTATAATAAGAACGGGTGACGTAGCCGGGTGTAAGCATTCTGTAGAGCTTACTCGGCGGTACTTAGATAGTTGGTAACTAGGTAAGTTGAATACTATATATATGTAGCTACAAAACATCCATTGCGAGGATTATACTACGCCACCGCATGCTGCTCGCGAAAACAAAAAAAGCTAAATATTAATCTAGAGACGTTCAGCTACTCAAATGAAACGAGAAAAGACCTGCAGCCTCAGATCTTATAATATTAACCGGACAGTAAGCAACGAATTTCTAAAGCTATTCCCAAGCAGAGCAACGCGTCGGGCGCCGAGAATAATCGTTGCATAAAGGTAAACGGAAGAGCGAGCGTAAGCAAAATGCGATGTATAAATTTTAGGACAAGCATCGCGGCTCCGCAGTAGCAGCAGACCATTCCCATACGCGCTACCCTAGTTGTCCGTTCGCCGGCGCCCATCGACGTAGGCTAGACGTCTAGCTATCACTTTGTCCTACGCCTTTCGCATTGTCTTTCTTCGCCGCTTTTAGAGTACGGTCTCTAGGATAAGTACGGTTCATCATCAAGGCCGGGGGCGAGCTGACCAAGGAGTTCTTCGATCTAGCGTACGCGGTGACGGCAATAAACAACGTCGAGATCAAGGTCAGCGTTGACGGGCCGTACGGCGAGACCGGGAGGCAACCAAGCGGTTTCGGGCACGTGTTGGCTGTCGCGGGCAGGCCTGGTGCGGTGTTTACGCTGCCAGTGATTGAATAGATGTTGCTATGGAATGCGGGGAGAGCGGCAGGATGAGAACGGAGTAAAAAGCTGTGGTTGCGACGAGGGAGTAGTATACCGGAGAGATGGAGACGATATTAAAGAAGTACTGCGTTGCTGCGAAGGGGATGGCCGTGTCTGTTATCGTGTATCTGACAGTGATAGATGAAGCGGCGCTGGAGACAGAAATAGGGAAGATCGATGACAGTTTGGCTGACACAGGAGAGCTGTGCTGGAATACTGGATGCCCGGGGCTGTCCCGGAATCATTCGTAAGTATGCAGCGGAAGATGATGCGTCTCTGGGTTTTGCTATCTGTGGCCCAGCGGGCAAGTTGTATGACGTCCGCAGTGCAGCTGCAAATTTGCAGAAGGACGTACTTGGCAAGAGACCGCAAGAAATATACCTGCACAGCGAGTACCTCTCGTAATTATACACTTTACAATGCCTTCGCACTCCCGCTGATGAAGAGGAACAAGAGGTGATAAGTTCTGATTTGAAAGTCGCATCAGGTGGCGGTGGCGGCGGGTTCAGAAATCCTCCAGAATGGTTTGGAGATACGAGACTTTGTCTCAGTTTGGTAGAGCATTGACAAACCACACAACGGCCACGGTTCACCTTCTCGCACTGGTTCTTTGCTTGTGCTTCTACCCGGAACCGCTGCTTTGTCTTCTCTTGTCTTTCTGTGTCCCATCTTTCCACTCGCTGCCAGAATTGCGGATCGAATGCAAGTCAAGGTTCCCACGAAGCAAGTATTCGTTGCAGGCATGGCTCCTCAGTCCGTGATTGTCGTGTTGATAACCCCCACACGATCAAAGCTTGGAGGCGAGCCATCCACTCGGGCCCATTCTACAATCGCAGGGCCCTCTTCGAATGCAAATACCTTACCAGTCTGTGTAGCACTGATCGGCGAGAGCGGCAAAACATTCTCCATTCCTTGGACAGAACCGACAGAGTTCCATGCTGTGCCGTTTAAAAAAGCCATCCTCACGCCTCCAGATGACTTGGAGGATAGGACTTGTACATTGAGCAGCAAGTTGTCGTCAAGTTTGGACGATGCCGCAATGTTGCAGCCGCTGTCAAGTGGTAAATCCGCTGCAGACTCAGAGAAATTAGCCAAAGCCTGGACATAGTCTCGCCGTCTTTGGACAGACTTACATCTCATCTTAGTCTTGTACCACTCTCCCTCGCTGTCCTTGTACAACTCAACCAAACTTCCACCCGTGTTGCGGAAATACATGGCTAGGTGTAAGTCGGTATCGTTTATCGCAGTAACCTGTGGCACGGGTAGAAAAGCGACCACTGTATTTGGATCCACCGTTATTGTCGCAACATCGACAACGCTGGTGATGGATTTGAAAGGTTGTCTGATTTTGAAACTGTTCTCCTCGTCCAGGAAGGCGAATAAATCAAGGGTAATGCATGTGTCCGCAGTGCATTGGCGAATGTATGTGGCGAGCATTCTTCCATTCGGATTGGCATTGTATCCAGGGGAAAGTTTCCCATCTGTTTGCCAGTCGAGGCTTTGGTTACTGGAAAAAACTCCGCTGATGGTACTGCTGTTATCCATGAACATGCAATGAAAGTCGGTTTGGTTGTCGGTGTTTCCAGTAGTGGCCCAGTAGAAGTTGTATGCTGCAATCGGTGTCCCAAGCTTTGGATGGCTCGCATTTCCTTGGGCTTTAACAGATGAAAGCGCCCATTCGTTGCTGGGAATACTTCGATCCGCCATGTAAATCTGCGACGACTTGTCCTGGAAAAAGACTTGTGCATGCTCTATGCCGCTTGTATCGGTGTAGTTTGCGGCTGCAAGGCTAGAGTTGGGAAGAATTCCATGTTGATTAGCCGCAGTATTGTTGCTCGAGTCTTTGTTCGAGTCTCTGTTCCTGGTCACACCCACTCCGACACCAACGCCTATACCAATGGCGACGAGAATGGCCAGAAGAAGTGTGATCGCTATAGTCTTTCTCTGGAATCCACAGTAGGTCTTCTCTTGCTGATTATCGACATGGATCGCTTCTGGTAGGTCCCTTTCGGCTGGCTGAGGAAGCGCCTCTGGGTCGTCGCCTGGCTTCACCTCAGGTAGATTGGACGTTCTGTCTACCTCAGGCAGAGGCGCCCTCCTATCTACCTCAAGTGTGCTGTAGTCTACGTCCTGTCCACTCATTGCGGTGGGAGTTGAGACGGATTGGGATTACCAAAAGTATTAGCACACTTGTGTGTCCCGGTGCTGTTAAAATTCAGTAAGGTAACAACTCCGATAGATGCTGGGAGGATGCCATGGAGACGGCAGCGAATAAGCGTATTTTCAACGATATATGTCTGTTGGGGCGGCGGAAGAGGCTGACATCTGCAACTGCAAGTAAGCAGAGAGCTGAATAAAAGTGGGGAACTTATGCAGTATGACGCCCCGGTTCGGTCTTCGGCACCAGTAGTAAAAGCGGAAGAGGCTAGCGATCTTCACAGATGCACGTAAGCATCGGGGCCGAAACGAGGGTGCATCTTGCAGAGCCAGTAGCTCTGCTGGATGTAGGGAAGATAGATGACGGTCGCTGTTCTCACTCTGGTATACCGTTGCCTGGTCGTGCCTGGGCGCTTGCGATGATCACGCGGGTTCGGGAAAGACCTGCCGCTTCCCCAGGATCTTTATAGTGGTTCGTGCGGGGAAACTGACACACCAGAAAACATACTTCGAAAGCCATCCCATCGCATACAAGCAATAAAACATCGCAGCGGCCGCAGAATATCCCAAAGAAAACTAACTGGAAGCGTATTGTCGGCTGGAAGGAGATCACAACATTAGCTATTTTCCAACGGTGTATCGGGCCCTCTGGCCATTTCTGTCGCTCCAATGCCGCGGATCGCATCCATTGGAAGTTGACAGCATAGCGACAAGTTAAAACGGCATAGAAATACACCATTCTAAGGAAGCTGTCTGCATCTTCGCCCCAGCTGCATTGGCGTTGTCGCGTCCTGCTGGAACGAGCAAGCGAGCGAGCGCCTCCGCGGCTTTCCCGCCCAACCACCGAAGCTCCGCATCCAAGCATGACACCGTATACCATCTACAACAGAGTGGTTGCAGGGCCCTAGAGATAATATGTCTTTGCGCAGTCCCTTCCATGCTCTTTCAAGATAGAAATGCCCTTATTCTCTCCCCGTAACTTCCTTCGCGGCGTTTCCTGCTAAGCAAGCCATGCGCATCTACAATTCGGTGTCGCGGGTCGCCGTCAGGGTCCACGCCAACAAAACTCTGCTCACAACCCCGCTCTCTCTCACCCCAGCACAACCCACAATGGAGAATATCTTTGCAGATCAAATTAATGGAAATTCCTATAAAGGTCGCAATCTTTCTCATGACCAGCGAGTTTGGATCATTTCCGCAAGCGAACAGGGCACCAGCCAGCATGAGATCGCACAGGTCACCGGCCTACCTCGGTCGACCGTAGCAGGAACAATTCAACGCTTTCACAAGACACAACGCATTGATCTAGAGCCCCGGCCAGGACCTAAAAAGAAGCTTAGTTTTCGTACCCAGCGGAA